AGTTAAACGAACATTCGATTAAAATCTAGAAGCAAAGGAGTGATGCCTTTTCGTCATCTATATTAATGAATGATGCATAATGAAAGATTCTTATTCCCATTACCAAAACATCCATCAATAGTGCCTTCGATGCCAGTGCATGACCTATCATAAGTACTGATTCAAACATGGTTGTTTATCTAGCATACATAAAAAACAGGTTAGAATCTAGCAGTAACTATAAATTTCTTTTTTCGTTCAGAAGATTTAGTTATTTATTACGCAGGATTTTACCTGGAGCATCCAGTTGGTGTGAAAGGGATTTTAGTTCCTCTTCGCTTCTTGATCTATCCATTACAAAACGCAAGTTGCTAATCTTTTTTCTTTTTATAACGTGATCAATTTCATTTATATATTCCCGCATTCGTATATAGAGACAATGACTGCCAACTTGCTCAATCTGGGTTGGTAGCTAAGATGTTCAGACTCTTTTAAAGGGTGCAAAATCGTCTGTCAACGTCTGATTATCATAACCTCGTTTTCTTGCAGCTTTAAGGTTCATGGCAGATTTTTACAGCAAGGAAAAATTCACTCGACTATGCTTCACGTCAGTATATAATTACATACTGTATTCGTTAATATACGAATGCTGAGGTTGGAGCTTAAGGTGGCATCGTATGTACAAATCTAATAAAAAAATATTTAATTTTTAAGATTTATAGAAGCGACAAGGAACTGTGGGCTTATGTAAATACATATTTAAGTGTGCGTGAAGAATTTCCTTAGTTGATTAAATAATTTCGCAGATAGACGCTGGTTCCACCTTACTCACGCATCGGAAACTTTTTGTTATTCGTTATCCGAGTTGCTCCAGTTACGGACATGCCATGAGTGCCAGTCAGTGCTCTTCCATTTCTCTTTGTCATCTGTTTTCTGCCTTCACCGCTAGCTAAGTAATTTGAACATCGGAACGTCCCAGCATGTTCTTAGATGACCGTTTTTTATTATGTTAATTTACAAATTACTACAATAGAATAAAGAGTAGCATAGCGCTTAGCTGAATGATCCTACCAGTGTGATATAAATCGACTTGATTTCAGCATTATTCTTGGAGCCATATAGAAACAACTCAATCTTTTAAACCATGACAATTATGTACACGTGAAAGCTAAATTATGTCACTGGAAGTTGATATGATTATTCGGATTGCGAAATATTTCAGGTCAGTGTTGGTTACTGCAAAAGATGGATGTACGACAGAAGTGTGATGCAGGAAACCGTGATCACTCAGTGGAACTTGGTATGCGCCAATCGTTATCGACAGGGTGACATGTACCTGTCATTCTTGTTCGGCGCCTTCTTTGGCTGTTTTATCGGGGGCATCACCTCCGATCGGTTCGGTCGAAAGCCGACCCTCATCGCCTACGCGGTTCTCAGTTCCGTGCTCAGTCTGATACTGCCTTACTCAACGAGTTTCTTACTCTTCCTGCTGCTACGCTTTCTGGCAACGGTTTGCATCGAAGCTGGCTATCTGACTACCTATATCGTCGGAATCGAGATTATTGGTATCAAGGAACGATCGGTTGGTAACGCACTTTTACAGGCAAGTCTTGCTGCGTGTCACTTTAAATTTCGATTGAATTATACTGCAAAGATTTTATTTGACATTCTCATACTGAGGATATTTGACGGTAGTCAGTGCCTAAGCAGGCTCTGGTAGCTGCCGCCCGTTACCGAGTTGTATTGTCCATTATTTTACGCACTATCTGACACAACAGCTTGCTGGCACTTCTTTAATAGCTTTTCTGTGACTTTTACATGGTTCAAGGTCTTCCTCATTGATTTTGAAACGGGCAGTTTGCAGAAATGGCCACTAGCGTTGTTTGCACATCCTTCAAGCGATATACTCGTTTCAGATCGATAGCCAGAAGTTTTTATTAACTTGATACTTTCTTATTTTCGCCATCATTGTTTTCAATACATTTTCGTCCAGTGGAACGGTAACATCAATTATTTCAGCTGTCTTGTTCTTGCGAGCCAGGATTAGTATGTCTGAATGATTATGAGCGACGGTACGATCGATTACTGTAGGCTAGTCGAAATAGATGATAGGTTGGTTATTCTCAAGGACGATCTCCGGATGATATGATATCGATAATACGGCGCGGCTTTGGAGGTGATGCCTCTTTCAAATGCCAACAGTTGCTGTATGATCTTTGTGACGCTACTGTTCTGTTTGAGGTGCCGGGTGTTAGATCAAACGGAATAACTTGCCACAATATGTTGGACTAGTTCCGTTGTACTGCCGCGCATCCTACATTTTTTACAGGATACTTTCGTTCATGATGAGTTTCACGTGGATCTTCGTAAATATCTCTTTATCTTGTGTTGCTGCTACAAATCCTCCTTATTCCAAAATAATCCTCCATTTCGAAGCCATGCAAGCGACTTTTCCAGGTCGATTTCATCAGGCATACGGGCAGCATAGTAACCTACACGAAATGCCTTCTTACTCCATTCATCAAGTCTGGATATTAAGCTTCTCTTCTCTACTCGATGATCTTTAGCCATGTGTTATTCGTCAGCTACCATGACTCCTTATAAAGATGAATCCATCTTCTCAAAGTATGTGCG